GACATTGGTTCTCAAAACTAATGACCAATTACAGAGAATATGAACTGGGCCGGATGGAATAGAAAATGAGACATCAGAACATGTTGGCTGTGGCAGGATAATCAATAAGACTGGTAAAAGGATTCACCTGAGCTAATTATTAACGCTATTGACTTTCAGTTAATAGGATTAATATCTGTTTAATACTGTATAATGATTGGCATTTACACGGCATCCAATTTACCCAGTGTTACCATCTGCTTCTCTACTCTCTGAAGCACTTATGTCTGGCTGGGTGCCTGACAAAGCACACTTGCTTCAAGACTTGGTACCCAGGAAGACAGTGATCCAGTCAGGAAGACAGGCATCACATTTTAATAGCTGTCTATAAGTCAGTCAGTCAGTCGTCCAGCCATTCAGGAGATGCATCTAGCTACAGCATTCTATCAATGGGCCATTTAGCCAGCCAGTCAGACAATCAACCCACCAGCGAGCCTGTATATCTAGGAACATAATCACTATACTGACAGGAAATCAGGTGGACAAACAGGGAGACAAGACATAGTGTATGCACGAACACACGAGTGAACGTATAGAATGCTGATTTACGTCATGGCAATCATCTCTAATGGAAAAGTAGTAAGGACACTGAACTGTTTGCTGTGGTTGCTCGTACAAAAGAAAATGAGGTTTTTGGTAGTTGTTATGGTGACAACAAACAACAGTGGGGCTGTAAAGTGAATCAAGTTCACAAGTTAGAGTTTGAGAACATGGTTTTGGCCTATTCTTACTCTTGTTTTTCATATTAAACAGAAACATACACTAATCCAAGTTTCTCTCTTTCACCGAACTAAGACTATCCATCCACCCATCCATCCATTGTCATCGGCTTATCCGGGGCCGAGTTGCGGGGGCAGAAGGCTAGGCAAAGCACCCCAGACGTCCCTCTCTGCAGCAGTGCTTTCCAGCTCCTCCTGGAGGACCACAAGGTGTTCCCAGAGCAGATGAGATACATAATCCCCTCCAGCGTGTTCTGGGTCTGCCCCACGACGTGCACGGAACAACTCCAACAGGAAGCACCCAGGAGGCATCCTGATCAGATGCCCGAACCACTTTACCTGACCCCTTTCGATGCGAAGGAGCAGTGGCTCTACTCCGAGCTCCCTCCAGATGTCTGAGCTCCTTCCTCTATCTCTAAGGCTGAGCCCAGCTACCCCATGGAGGAGACTCATTTCAGCCGCTTGTATCCGTGATCTCATTCTTTCGGTCACTACCCAGAGTTCATGACCATAGGTAAGGGTTGCGACATAGATGGACCAGTAAATCAAAAGCTTTACCTTCTGGCTCAGCTCCCTCGACAGTCACAACGGTCCGGCGCAGCACCCGCACCACTGCAGAATCCACACCAAACCGCCGATCCATCTCACGCTCCATTCTACCCTCACTTGTGCAAAAAGACCCCGAGATACTTGAACTCCCTCGCTTGGGGCAGTAATTCACTCCCAACACGAAGGGGGCAAACCACAGCCTAAGCTTTGGAGGTGCTGACTCACACTCAGCTGCAAACCGTCCCAGTGCCTCTGGAGGTCATGGTGTGATGAAGCCAACAGAACCACATCATCTGCAAAAAGCAGAGATGCAATTCTGAGGTCACCAAACCAGACCTCTTCGAGAGCTATGTCAGCATACTCAAACACTCATTCAAACTCGACAGAAATAAAATCAAACTCACCAAAACCATCTCAGTTAGTCATCTAGCTGGTCAGTCCAGTGTTCCAGAAATCACCAGCTCTGGTTTGGTGGAAATAAATCCTCCTTAAATAAAAAGTATGCTGGCTCTTCATGCACTTTAACTATCCCTGTGGTGCGGCTCTCACTCCTTCAGAGGCAGCTAAAGTACATCATGTTTATACAAACAAAGGAAAAAGGGGAATAACCGTTACAATGATATTTTAGAAATAACAAATTACTTGTTTGAAAATGTACTGGTACTACTCCACTGCTCATTTGGTCATTACTGCAAAACCTCACCTCAGTGTGTTTGTGGTTTGCCGCAAGTTGGTTTGTTTATCTTGAAGATCACACGGAAGTTAGGCTGCTACAATGGTTGCACATAAAAATGGCTGTCGCTCTGACCACTCTGCCATGTTGCTTTAAATGGTAATGTCAGTCTACTCTCATTTCATTACTATTTCTAAACCCCTCTCAGCATCAAGTATGAATTCAGTACTGTACTGTGCTAATTTTGTGTGAACACTGAATAGACCTCTGTAATAGGTGACGTGCCTAAAAAGCAGAAATTAATAATGACTGTGTTGGTGTGTCCAGTGCATGATACTTACCAGCTATAGAGGTGGATTAAAGAGTAATGGCTCTTGTCTGTGTCATGTGAGTGCGAGTGTGTGTGTGTGTGTGCGCTGTACACGTGGGCCTCTGCTTGTTTGTGATATTAGAAGCCATTGCATAGCATGCAAAGTGCATTCGTTACTCTTGTCTTGGCTCATCTACAGCCTCATCTAGTGCCAGCAAAGTGAATCAGGTCAGGAGCCTTTCATGGTCAGCGAGCTGCGGTCGGTCCGATGGGCTGACCTCACGGTTGATAAGATCAAGTTGATCACAGCATTAGGGTCAGATTACTTTCTCTACCGGCAAGACAACAGAGGAACTGAACATCAACTTGTTTGCAAATTATGTAAGATTCATTCTCAATTGCCTCTACAACCGCTACTACTCCAGTATGTATACATGACTACTGCTGCTACTGCTACCATTCGTACTATCTCTACTATTCCCCCTGTGCAGCTGCTTCTACTCCTACTAATGTTTTTCTGCTACTGCTGCAGCTCTTGGACAGTTGGTTGCAGGGGATACTGAGAAAAACATCTAAAGATGTTTGATTTGATCCCCCAGTACACCCAGCAAGGTTACACGTCCCTGAACAACACATCATGCCAAACAACTCCTCTATAGTGTTGCACCACAAGAAGCTGTTTCTCTGTGACTTCTCTGGAGAAATGCATACGCTCTCCGTTTGTGTGGAGTATGTGGAGACGCCGGTTACCTTATGTAAACTCGAAATCCTACTGAACCTTCCACTTTTGCTGTGACTATAGAGCTACATCTACCAGCACTCACCAGAGGTTTGCAGTGGGAACCAAGAGGAGTCTTTCCATTCATCAGAAGTGTCTAATCTTTGAAAGGACTAACTTTGGATGCGCTTGATCTGAAAATGATCCATTGTTGTCTGCGTATGATTTTAATCATATTTTGAGATCATTATATAACTTGTGTTTTGAGTACAAAGAGACCAGAGTTGAAGGATTATGTTGCGTAATCAGACATCACATTTTAATGCTGTCAGAAGAATATCCTATATTTTTTTTCTCCCTCACATGCATTATTGATAACGTGACTATGATACCACTTATAATGAAAAAGTAATGCTCTGCTGAAATAATGTATTCTAGTCCATTGATCAATGGAGACGTAATACAGTGAAGACACTGAAGTTGGAGCATCAGAAAATATTAGATCTTTGACTTTTTCTGTGTATTGCAGGAATTGTTTTTCTTTATTTTGGGGTCAGGTTAGGTTGTGCTAAGTTACATTCAGTGCAAGAGTTATAATTAGCATTTAAGCCACAAATAGTAGCACAGTTAAAAATCCCTCCTACACAGTGCTTGCTTTAACTTACACGTATTCACCAACCTTTTAACTGAATAATCATAATATTGAATGTACCACTGGTGCATTTGTTTTTGTCAGCCAACCTTTAAACTAAAAAACTTTCATCACTCCGTTTGCTTCTGCTTCTGTTTTCACAACATCATGTGCAATATTACTTTTCAATATCATGGTCACTTGTCAATGTAGTCCAGTATAATTTACTTAGTCATGTGCAACACTACTTCTATTGTTATATCACATTCAATATACCATTGATTATCAGGCGCAGTCTGTTTTTCCACCATTTTAGTTCATTGTTTAGTAACTCTTGTACTAATCTTACTTCTATTGTTACTCTATCAGGCACTGGTTTTGCTTTTGCTCCTTGAAAACACTTCTTATCCTGTATATTTGTATATTTCACTAGATATTTGATACTCTGTTGTTCTAAAACTGGGCCCAGTGAGTGACCCCAACCTGGGGAACCCACTGGTTGTTACTGTTTGAACATTAAATTGTGGTTACTGTGCTTGGTGTTACTGTATTTGAAGCATTCTCTGGCACAAAAATTTCCTTCGTGATAAATAAAGTTCTATTAAATTGAACTGAATTTTTTGTTCCTTTCTTTACACACACACACACACACACACACACACACACACACACACATACACACACATATATATATATACATAAACTTAAAAAAGATATGTACATAATTTGTAAAGGAAAAGCGAAGGAGAATTGCCTAAAAACCCCTCCAGGGGCTTATAAAGTGGTATCTTCCGTGCAGCATATTACAGGACATAATTACAGCTAAGTTATACACACTATTTGTATGTACCTACATTTTTAGACTTGGCCAGTAACCCCTGTGCCGTGACCCCGTCCACTGATGGCTAAACACGCTGCTACAGTAATGTGTACCCCTGAAAGCTCAACCTTTGCTGAGCACCAGTGAAAAATGACGCAATATCTTGACTTGTGTTTTGCAAAAAGGAATAAACTCATGTCAGGGCTGTAGGCACCTCTGCCTCTGTGTGGTATTTTCCCCTTGCTCTTTGTCTATGGATAGTTTGAGTTTGAAGTTGTACTAAATGTATCTACCACCTACTCCACTCAAACACCCAACCACTATATGAATCACAGTTCATCTAGTAGCAATTTTCTGTCTTTGCACACACACACACACACACACACACACACACACACACGCACGCACACGCACACAGAGGTAACAAAAGCTGAGAAGGCGGTAGCAAAATGATATCATTTAAAAATTATACTGCATTCAAAAGGTCACTGGCTATACTGTCCATTGAGAGGATAGTACTGTATTTGTGCAGGCTCTCTTCCTCTACTTCTCCCTCCTCTCCCTCTCTCTATTCCTCTCCATCGCTGTTTTCTCCACAATCTCCTTAATCAAACAGCCGCCGTCATTATCACCATCAAACACAAACATGTCCTAAATACCCAACTTGCACTTGAGACCAGTGTTATTTGCTGTAAAATGCACTGTTCGGTTAATGTTACAGCTCTCCTCGTCCCTCCTCTTCACTCTCTTAAAAACTCTTCAGGTTTTTCCAACTGAGCGATTCAGGCTGAGGCGGGCGCAACCGCACTAGAGGGGGAAGTCAAGTCGTGCTGGACTGGCGCGATATCCTCGCACGGTTCACAACTAAAAGAAGACCTGACCCGCGTTAAATGATGCTTTTACATGATGGAATATGTTGATTTTAAAAGTTGACCAGGGATTTCTAGTTGTGGGGTGTTTGCGAGGCATGGCTTTCCTTTTAACTTGCTTATTTCTGTCTTGGTGAGTATGACAACTCTTTTCTCTGCAATGTTCTCGGACTTTTACGCACGGGAACCAAAGGCTGTGGATGGATGTGCGTTTGACAAAGTCTGCCTTTTTCAGCTGTTTTATTATCTGTTGGAATAAGCTTTCATTAGTGCTTATGTACTTTAGTTACAGTGCGAGCAGTGTTTGGGGAAATCAGCACGGTGATACCAGTATCTATTTGGATAACATCACGCGCATATTGGATAGATTACTGGATGGCTATGACAACAGGCTGCGACCTGGATTTGGAGGTATGCTTGTGACCGTGTCATGCTGTGTTTTATGCGATATTGCCTCGTACATTTTTGGCTCAGTGTTCCTTTTCACAGAAGATAAAGTTTTACTGTAGTAGTTGTGTGTGCCTCATTTTCATTTAGCTTCTGTGCTGCAATGGTTAAATATTAGTTCATTTTCATTTCTATAATTATGTCAAAAATACTGGCTAACAACTGGAAACTGTCTTTGAAAATGAATTTATAATTTGAATGTCTTTTTGTTTTTAATTTTCTATGTATTAATGGCCATTTTGCTGCATAAGCTATACATTAAATATAGCTTCATTTTTACTGTTTTTGATTTTTGAAAAACATTCAAATGTTTGATCCAAAGTTGTTTTTCTCTGTATCAAAGCAACTACTTATCCTTCTGCTGTAGGTCCAGTTACAGAGGTCAAAACTGACATCTTTGTCACCAGCTTTGGACCTGTTTCAGATGTTGAGATGGTATGTAAACCATACTGATCGCTGTTAAACAGGACGCACAGGCTAATTCACTTGCTCTCATGCACATGCATGTGTTTCATCACTCTTTAAAGTCGACGTCAGTATATAAGCACAAAAGAAAATGTGTACAGTTTTCCCGGTAACCCTATGCATATAGCATCTACTGTAGTCTTGGCTCTCCCAGCCTTCATTATTCCAGCATTTGGGCAGGATGTCATTAGTGCAGCTTAGGATTTTAATCTGGTTGACAATCCCCCCCGTCAGAGAGCGAGAGAGAGATGTGGCTGATGTTGGGACGGGATAGGTTTGCCATTCCTGTCATGGGATAGGCTGAGGGCTGTATGTCTGTTGCATTCTACACTGTTCAGGCTTTCGTTGCATCTAAAGCCCACTTGAACTGCCATGGGATATGCTGGTGGCAGTTCTGTAGAGAGGCACGTAAAAGGCTCCTCAGAGGCTGCAAGGCCATCCATGTGATCTAAAAGCATGCCATGCTTTATGCTGACTCTGTAGGTAAAATAAACTGCATGCACGTTTAAAGATTTCACCATAAATCAGTCAATAAATTTGCCTAATTTTTTATATGTGGCAGTTAAAAGAAAATATGATTAAAGTTAAGATTAACCTCACAAGCAATATGCTGAAATATATGGTTTATGTGTGAAATGTAATCTGAGGGCTATTTTGAGAAGATCACAATGTATTACTATGTAAAGTCCCATATGAAGCCCCTAAAAGAAACAATATATACACGTCTTGATTGTAAAAATTATAATTTTAATTTTATTAGCACTGGCAGCAATAGCAGAATCGTCAAGAAATGAAAAAACAACAACAACTGACTACATTGCCAGCACTCCATCCAGCAGGTCCAACAAAAACCATGGCTCACAAACCCATCTGCCATTCTCTCCGGGGGTAGTGGAGATAGTAACGGCAGGAGCAGAAGCAGCACCAGCAGCACTGATGGTAGGAGCAATAGTAGTAAATAAATCCTTAACCCACACTCTAACCTCCACCCAGGAATACACCATGGACGTGTTCTTCCGTCAGACATGGATCGACGAGCGGCTGAAATTTGAGGGCCCCATTGAGATCCTGCGGCTCAACAACCTGATGGTCAGCAAGATCTGGACGCCGGACACCTTTTTCCGGAATGGCAAGAGGTCGATCTCTCACAACATGACCACCCCCAACAAGCTGTTCCGCATCATGCAGAACGGAACTATCCTCTACACCATGAGGTAACAGTGCTGGACAGTGAGCTCCAAACCCAGCCAAGACCGGAATAGAGCACAGACCTGGAAGGCAAATCAAACAAAATAAGCATCCAAGAATATGCACAGACATGAAAAGAAATGAAGAGTGCCATTCCAAAAAAACAAGATATGTGCCATCTGATACTGAAAACAGGCCTGGAAAGCAATTCAAACAAACATGACTCCAGCTTTGTTCCAATGTAGCATCAAAAAAAAGATCCCACTGGAGCTGCTGATGGCATAAAAACAGCTTATTTTTAATAATAAGATTATTTAAGTGGATCAACTTCACTTTAAAACACTGAATGATAAAGTTCAAGAGCTTTATCTGACCCATATTGTTATTGTGTCATTAGTTACCTTTCAGGAGTGGAACAGTTACATAACAGGACATCATTACCTACTCATCTCCACACAGTTCACCTATTTACCTTATATCATTTTTGTTGTTTTTTGTATTTTGTTTGTTTTAGTCAGCCATTGTACAGCATTGCACCAAAACAACTGTCTCCAGCTTTAAACATTACTCAGCAAGTAACAGAGTATCAAATATAAATCAAACGCTCCTTTCAACTCTTCTCTATTCTGACAGATTAACTATAAATGCAGAGTGCCCCATGCGTCTGATGAACTTCCCGATGGACGGCCACGCCTGCCCGCTCAAGTTTGGGAGTTGTGAGTTTGTTTCTCGTTAAGCCTCGCTGCTCTGACAGATGGTGTCACTCACAAATGATCGCTCTGTCACTGAGTATCTGATTGTCTGACAGCGTATATTTAAAGATTTCTATTTGAGATGTCTCATGCAGGAACTTGTGGAGGACTGTAAAAACAAATCTATGCTGGGAGTTCAAGTGTGTGGAAGACCAGGCCGGCAAAAATGTTGAAATGAAAGTCAAATCTTAAGGTTGTCTAAAAAACTCCCATCAACAGGGGGAATGTTACAGATCATTGTTCAGCAGCTATATGTGCAAGGTAGCACTTAGTTATTCATTATCCATGAGAATGCAGACAATCAGGTACATTTTGAAAGCGGTAACAATATTTGTTCCATTGTCTGTTATCCTCTAAGTTTCTTTGACGCTTTGTGTCCTAAATTATTTTTAAAATTCAAAAAAGTGTTGCAGAGATGACATTTATTTGTAGGCCAACACAGAAGTCAACAACGCCCTGGTTCCCGAGACGTTAACTTCAGTGGGATTTTCCATTGGATCTTGGATTATTGCAGAAAAGATCTGTGGCATACCAAAGTTTATGACACTTGCATGTTTTATTCAGCGAGATAATCTTCACAAATGATCACCACTTTTATGACTTTTGAAGCGTAAATGCACTCACCAGAAGTAAAAAGCTAACGTTAGCTTATGAACGGCTTACACCAGGGTCACATAACTTCAGCGTTGCCACCACAATGAGACTGTAAAGCCTCGTCTGGCGTGATGACGTTCTGTAGTCTCGTTTAGCCACTTGTTAGCAACCACCTTTTTTAAGACACGTGAAGGCAGAACAAAACATGAAAGTCTCTTAAGCTCGTGTTAACCACAAACCTTATTTCAAGCTTCCAACCACAAACCCAATTGAAAAACCCATTGTTCTCAAGACGAGGGAACCGGGAGTGCTAAAATGCTAACTCTTTCCAGGTTTTAGGACTCTATGGTAGTTGCCTAAGTGTTAACAAAGCTCTGCATTCATCCCGTGTAGATGCTTACCCCATCAGCGAGATCGTATACACTTGGAAGAAAGGTCCGCTGTCCTCGGTGGAGGTGCCACAGGAATCATCCAGTTTGCTGCAGTACGACCTCATCGGTCAGACAGTTTCAAGCGAGAGGCTAAAGTCCAACACAGGTGAGGAGAAACCCTGCTATGTCCCAGCTCTGCACTGTATATTAGAGTCAATAGTGCTGACTTTTGATGTGATGTGCGGCATGTTTTTATAAGGTTTTTCTGGGGTTAGGTAATATCTCTGATAGAACGTTACCAGAGCTTTTATTGTAAATCAAGATATATATATATATATAATAGCTTTCAAACTAAGTGTGTGTGTAAGAATTATTGATTTGCCACCAATAGAAAAACAAATGTCCTCTCCAAATTCCAGGTGAATACGTCATCATGACCGTACACTTCCACCTGCAGAGGAAAATGGGCTTCTTCCTGATTCAGACTTACATTCCCTGCATAATGACCGTCATCCTGGCTCAAGTCTCTTTTTGGATTAATAAGGAATCAGTTCCAGCTCGGACTGTCTTTGGTAAGATTACTTTACATTAACTTATATGCTGTATGAATTCCAGTGTAACTTTCAAGCTTATTTCCGAGTGAAAGGGGGCACTGATGCAGACAGGAGCAAATGGAGGACGAACACATGCTGCACATTGCTTTCCTGCTGAGCTGGAATCATTTGGAAAATTCAAAACTATTCTCACTTTAGCTGCCAAATATTGCAACACAATGGCTCGCAAATAGTAGAGGTGTTTTGTTTTTTTAACAGAAAAAGCAGTCTGCGCAGTTGTTATTTTGCATGATTGCAATCATTTAAAGAGGACTGTGATGTGTGGTATGTAAATCACATCAATCCACTGAGCAGAACAAGTCAGCTAGGAATTTATAAAGCTTTTTTTTTTTTTATAAAGTTTTATATGATACAAATTTTTGTTCTTACAAAGTTTCCAGCTCTCAAAAGTCAACTTTATTTTCTAAGTTTCTAAGACTCAAATGAAAATTTATCGACTCACCACCCACTGCTCGACCCTGTGTAAGTCTAGCTCTGCAGACTTTAAGCAAGCATACTTTTCTCTATTTACTGCGCTCTGATTAGTTTGAAATGCACAGAGTGCTCCTTATGATACATCCTCCCGCGCGAGAACAGACACAGACATCACCGTATGTTTTAACCTGTCTTCATTATCTCTATTTCTTCTTCGCTGTTGTGGAGCTGAATTAATTGGGAATGAATGTCCCTTTTTGAAATTGGTCATGCAATGGCTGAGAGAGGGAGGATGTTTACTTGGCCCTCATCCGAGCACTCACAGGTTCCGCTTGCTCACATTACATTACGCTACAGTTGCCACCGAGCTTTAGCCTGGGGAGCAGAGAGGGTGAGAGACGCTGAGGAGAGACGGAGAAAGTGAGACTGAGAGGGAATGAGCGAGGCAAAAAGACAGCAAAGACGAAGAAACACGGGGATAGTGTGGAGAAATTCCTCTCCATTTTTTAATTCAATCACCCCCTTCCACGCACACACACACACACACACATCCTTATGTTCATTTTCAACAAGCTGCAGCTGAGCGACCTAACACTGCTGGCCTTGTAGATTATGGTTGTGTAGTCTGTGTTTGTCTTTGGATGCGAGCCAGCGCTCCAACGAGCCTGTGCACTTCTTCGGAGAATAGATCCCAATCATTAGTGTTAGCGTGGGAGTTGGGGGCCCCATGCGGAAAGCACATCTGTGGCAACTCATTAACCTCACTCATCCTGCTGTTTTCATTTTACTCAGTATTGGGTATTGGATTAAAAAAAAACTGCTCATTGTCTGAATTGGCTGCTGTTGAGGAGCTCTGGGCGAACCCAGGGCATGCTGGGTATTTTAGAGAGGTTGTAAAGACAAAAAAATCAAATATTGGATTTTTGTGACAAGACGCCAAACTTTGTCCTCAGAGTGTAATAAACTTTGTTTCTTATATTAAGGCACCATGCTTATGAGCTTTTAAAGTACAGTAAGCAAGCGATGTGCTCTAAAATGTCGTTATTTGAGTTGAATTAATGCTGTCGTTGGTGCATGTGAGATAGAAGGTTAAAAACAAGGGACAGAAGAAGACAAATTGCTATATGGTTGTGCTCCACCCCGACGGTACATTAAGTCATAGCATGTTGTGTGCTTGATTGTCAACAACCTAAAAGCTGAAAGTCCCCTGAGCACAAGTCTCACAGACTTAATTGAGTGTGGCCTAATTTGTACCTTGCTTTTTCCATATAAAAGCACATAAATGCCCCAAGCATTTCATTTCTATCCTGTCTTTATACTTCATCCCCCTCCCTCCTACACTCTTTCTTTCTTTCTCTTTCTCCTGCCTCTCCCTCCTACCCTGACAGGCTTTCTTCCCATGTCCCTCCTCCCCTCTGCAATCATTTAACTTGTGCTTGAGCTTGAGACAGTCAGCGTTGGCTGGCTATCGGAGGAGCTTGTATTTGAGAGCTGTTAGCTTTCACTGCTGAAGTGGTGTGTAGAAAATGCTTTTGAGACATTATCGGGCGCATTAAATCCCCCATAAGTTCCGACGCTGCTAATGAAATGTGCACAACTACAGCGCACATTTGGTAAAAGCACGGACAGCAGTGTTCAATGGCCCCCTTTTCCCTGCTTGCTTTAGCTTGATGAAAGTGAATTAGATATGTACTTTGTTAATGGACCATTAAAGGAGATGTTCTTTGTCAGCATCTTTATCTGACTTAATAAGGTTGAATCTGGGCAAGACAGAGGAAAATCCTTTTTAGTGATTAAGAGCTACTTTTCTAGAGGCAAAATAGGACTTCATATGTATTTGTTTTGGTGTGTTTTGATATTTTGACACTTCAAAAGTGCCCCTAAAATGCACCTGCCATGGACCTTTTGTGTGGTAATCAAACTATCATGTATCCGAGAGAATTTATGAATGGCCTCAGATACAGTATTTTTCTTGGTCTTATACACTTTGAGGCTGAGCTCAAAGCGATCTTTGCCGTCTGTGCTTCAATCTGGAGCCACGGCCAGAAGTTTAGAAGAACTTTTGACAGACTTTGAAAAGCCTAGCGCAGTCTTAACTTCAGCTGAGACAGATATCAAAAACCATGTTGCTTTCAGTCCCCCACCTATCCATTGATACATACAATAAACAAATATTAGGAAACGCTTTTTGTGGCTTGTGTCTGGGTCATCTTCACTTGACGGCTTTCTTGAGAATGTTTGCACATAATTGGTCCCTTTTATTGGTGTGCCAGTGCGGGGGCATGGGTTAGTCTGTTTATGGACAGATTAGCATCCGCTGAAGTGACTTTTTGGCAAAGCTTACTGGGCTGAAATGCCACATGGTCTGACATTCTAGTTGTATGCCATCAAACAGAGCTGCTGCCATGTGTCAAAGATAATCCTTGGGAAAAACAATTGTGTAGACACTACAATTATTATTTTTTCCCCCTTATTTTGTGTAATGAATTACATTTAATGCCTGTCACATGAACAGCTCGGGCGTTACACATATGTTGTGTTACTTTTTATGTAACCATATAATATTTTAGACAAGAACCAAGAATATTTATGTTGACACCCTCCCGTCCAAGCAATTAATGAACAGCCTTCAATATCAATTTTAATTTTTCTAGTGTGCATGCATGGATTTTAACACAGTTTATCATTGACAATCCAAACCTTCAGTTTCTACATAATTAGGTCGTGCATGCCACAGTATTCCAGTGAAAGAGTAGACACGAAAACTCAAATTTAGCCCCTTAAGAAGAGTTATAATTGGCGTCTACACTATGAGTAAGACCTCAATCTCGTGCACCATGCATCTTGTGCATTTTTATTCGCAAATTGAGTCTTCAGAAAATCATTTAATCACAGTGTTGAAAGCTGTCAGACCTGTGTGTCAATGATTCACCACGGTACATGCTAAGACCTCACTAGCTTTGAATCATCTCTGCAGCATTAGAGAGTGCTTCAGCTGCTATCAGCCCTGCAATGCTGAAGTGATCACAGACATTTGCCAGATGGTATATTTTGCTAAGAGAGTTGAAACGACAATTTCCAAAGAGATGCTGCAGTTTTGTTTGCTACTTAAATGATAAAATAGCTTTGGTGAGAGGACCTGATGGATTTGATCTATTGATTTGAGGGGAAGACGCTCTGAAGTCATATGGGAGGCAGAATGGGAGCTTTTGATCCTTAAGTTGTTTTGTGTAAAGTAACATTTGTTTGTGTGTGTGTTTGTGCACCTGGGTTGTTTATGTGTGTGTATCCAAATCAAGCTGATTGCAATGGTCTCCCATAATCAAGCCTCTACATTGTTATTCATTGACAAACATTTCCAGGCGTTGAGTCATATGATGGTTTCTCAGAAACAGAAAAATAAAAACCAACATACACTCACATCCATCATCATTCTCCAGCCTCTTTAATACATATCTGAAACCTCACAGTTCATAACAAAGAGTAAAAGTCATGGTAAATGACCTCTGTCCATCCTTGTTAGGGCTTGGCAATATATCAATATTGTGATATCATCTTAGGTTTTGGAGATTTTTCCTGTTTTTAAAGGCTGCATTAAAGTAAAGTCATTTCAATTAATGAACTTACACACTGTGCTAGCTGTTCTATTATTTGCCTTTGCCTACTTTGTTGTTATATCCACATTACTGATGAGTATTCATCAAAAATCCCACTGTGTGAATAATTTGTAAAAGCACTAATATTCTACCTTACAATATCACTGCAATATTGTTATCGAGGTATTTGATTAACAGTATCACGATACTTGACTTGCTCCATATAGCCAAGCCCTATCCTTGTATTATATCTGATTGTTGCATGTTTTATGAGACTGTTTAGAACAATAATATCCTGAAAGATCCTGCCAACAGGCCAACAGGAATTCAATATTTTTTTCCACATCAGACGGGTCACCAGAAGAAAATAAAAAGGAAAATTGAATTGGAAGACTAAAGAAAAATAACCACCATCAACAACAACAAGAATGTATTGTACCACAGTGCTTGATTGAGCCATTTAACAAAACAGCATTAAAGGAAAACACTTATTCAACTCCTAACGAGAGAAGGATGAGAAGATCAATTCTATTCTGGTGTCTGTGTGTTAAGTATGAAAGTAGAGCCAGGAGGTGGTTGGCTTTACCTTAGCATTAAGACAGACTTATCTGTCTCTGTCCAAAACAAAAATAAATTCTTTAATTTTTAGCTAACAGAGGATGAGCAAAGTAACTTCTGATAATTATACACTGCATGACTCTTTTTAAATAGTTCCACTTCTGGCCTTACTGACTGAATTCTAAATCTCTTCTGACTTAACTCAATTAGTTTAGTACAACCAACATGAATTTCTTTGACCTCGAAGAGCTTAATTAAGTTCAACCAATTCAATATTTATTCAAAAGCTGTGGTGATGCGTAGTGGTCAAACTATTTTATATGAGATATTCTAACTTATTTATATTAATTTCATCCAACTTCTTAAAATAACTTGTCAACTGATTAAAAAAAATGTGGAAAGAGACTGGCTAGCTATCATCTAACTCTCTGCAGTAACAAATAAGTGTATTTCAAAACATGCCTGATTATTCCCTTAAAACAAGAACAAGTTTAACTAATATACTGCCACAGTAAACATAAGACCATCAGTCCCAGTGCCATAGTAGGATAAAATGTGAAATCAAGACCAACACACTGCTAACTTCTCTTTCCTTCCTACATCCAGGTATCACCACTGTCCTGACCATGACAACACTCAGTATCAGCGCCCGCCACTCCCTACCAAAAGTTTCTTACGCCACAGCCATGGATTGGTTTATCGCCGTGTGCTTCGCCTTAGTCTTCTCCGCCCTGATTGAGTTTGCAGCCGTCAACTACTTCTCCACCCTGCAGGCCAACCGGGAGCTGAGGAAGGCAGCTGCCATGAAGGCTGCGGCTCAGGAGGCTGCCTCTGCAGCTGCAGCTCCGCCCGCAGCCACGGGGAACGACGGAGAGGTTACCGCAGTAAGTCTGCCTCAGTGTTTTACACCTGTTGTGTTCAAATGCAGTGTCAAATCTGCTCTGACTCAAGGTTAAAGCTTTTAAAACTCACGCTTAAGAGAGGGAACAGGGTTTATGTTGTTTTTTTGTTGTTAACAAAATGTAGATGCCGTCCTGCTCGATGTGATTTGTTTATCTGTCAGAGGATGGAAGATGGGATGGAAATGTGATACAGAAATTAGGGCAGCACCGATCAATTTTTTAGTCACATACCCAAACTTTGCCAACACAGAATCTTGATCTAATACCAAAAGAGGCCCCTTTTGCCTCTATTTTAAAAGCTAAAAACCTCAGAGTGTGGAACTTATCATGATACTTCTTCCACATCTCACTTTATACTTGTCATATACGTGTAGGTTACATGCAGTGGTAGGATTACTGGTGCTGTGTGCAGATACAGACCTCACAAATTGCGCTGAGTTGCTGTGATAAATGGTGATCAGAGCTGATGCAGCACTCACAGGAAAGGAAGAGGACTTCACTTGGCCTCATTACATGCCTCTTCATCAAACCACTCCACTGGCTCCACCACACTTCTGTCTTTTTTTCTCACAAATCTAAACTGAGCTGCTAAATAACATAACTCTCCGCAGGGCTTTTAACTCCAATTGCTGGAGGTTGGTCGTTGTAACGGCAGTATTCGTTTTCTGAGCAGTTCTCCTTCATTGAACTTTGTCAAACATGTATATTGTCCATGTAATCTTTACAGATGTAAGATGTCTACATCAGAAAAGGCATACTGAACCCTATTCAGGGAACAGTGCTAACCACCAAGACGTTTTCAGTGGCAGTGACGTACCATTGCCTATACGTCAACATTCAGTGAAGCATAGACGGTTGTGGTTTAATGTCAGTGGTACATTTGCACATCAAAATTTCGTAGTTAATTCAAGCTAGGTTTGGGTGATATGATGGTACCTACCATGGGACAGAAGAAATGTATCAGCACCAGTTCTACCTTAAACAAGGCAGGCTATGTAGCAAATTAGGGCTGGATACCTGCGTGATGTTGCTATATAAAGCTGTAAATACAAAAACCTGTAACACTGGAAATTGTTGTTTTCTTTCATTTGAACGAATTGTAGTTTATCTGTTTTAAATCCTTTCTTGACTGAATACAGAGCAATTACTGTAAATTAATGTAAACCCTTACCAGAATATAAAATGACATATGCCATGATAGGAGATTTGTCCATATTGTGCACCCCTAGTCCAGGCTAATGCTGAATGGACTAGCTATAGGCGTATCCCATTTGCACAGATTCCAGCAGTATATGGACTTATTTTTCATTCCAGTTTGACTGAGTTAAGAAGATTGGCTGCAATTTTGAGGCATTATGTGTCAACTGGGTGCGAAGGGTTAACCCCAATAAGAGAGAATATAGCCAGCAGTAGGTGTTGAACTATTCTGGATATATGTATTGTTATCTTTCTCTCACTACATCCCTCTATATATCTGGTTCTATTTCACACGCCTTTTGTTTTCCTGGTTTGACTTCTTCGGTTGTTGTCTCTTGCTAAGCTTGTCTCAATTTCTCCTCCTGTCTTGTTCTGTTTGTCTCTCCTTCTGTCTCAATCCACCCTCAGCTCTTTGTCTTTATTTAACAATTTCAATGTTATACTCTTTTCCAATTTCAGTTAGCTTTTTGGCATCACCATGTAAACACACCAGTGTTGCAAAAACACACAAAATGAAGAGTGGATAAATCAAAGAAAGTAGTGGTGATTATGATAAAAACTTGTGATAATAGAACATTCCTTGTGTACAGGCGCACACTTTGACAACATAAATACAATTAAATCACAAGCTCCATATGTGTTAATTTTGTACATCATATATATATTTACTCTATATGCTGTTAAAGACAGGTTTATGTTGACAGATTTCCTATTACTGGTGTGCCTTGTGGCAGCTGAGCTGGGGAGTCTTGCTACAGAAAATTATCATTAAGTCTGGAACAGCTTTTTCAGAACTTTGACGTTATATGTTTCTTGTGTTTTGGGCACGTGCAAAGTCTCTGTTTTGTTTAGATTTGCTTTTTAGTGCAGTTTTTATTTTCATTTTTAGTTGTTCTATCTGGGATTTGTCTTTTGGTCAGCTTGCTGTGTGATTTGTTTCCCTCTCCCCAATATAAACTTCTAAAGGAAGTAAAAGTTTTAACAAGGTTTCTGTAGGTGAACCTGCAGAAAGATCATTAAGGTGTTTTTCAGAAGTTTTAATGGATTGGACTGGCATTTGGCTCTAGGCTGACTGGTTGCCCTGGTCAGTGTGGTGAAGGTGTTTCATGGCTCTAACATCCACATAGTTACTTCTTACTCAAGAGAGTATTGTATGAAATTGTGTTTGGGGTGTAAATCCCTAGTTTCACCATTAAACAATATTATATCCATTCTTTGATGATATCACAAGGTATGCCACTATATTATTTAAATTTGATGCGATTTGCGAGCCTGCAAACAATATGAGACAATGCCCATTTACCAAAATTGTTCCAAAAGAAGCTGCTATCCCTTTCTTTTTTGCTTTTGGCCATAAAAGATAAAAATGCCACATAAGTGATGTAAATAATTGTAACCGACTAAGTGCAGTAAAGTTTGCTTTAAAGTGACTCCACTATCACACATAAAACAGCGCATGGGATAAGTTAACTTTCAGGGCGTTCTGCCAGAAAGACCCTCCTGGAAGGAAGCTTTTAATTTTAACAAAAAACAAGATCTTTTTCCTCAAACTTTGGGACCATCTGGCTCAAAGCCCTGAAGGCAAACTTCTCCAGACAGCCATAAAACATGGATTAGCGAGGCAATTTCACAAAAGTCAAAAATTCGTCTGAGTAATAACAAAATCAGATCAGAAATACTTCATTGATCCTTGAGGGGGAACTGTGATTTTTTGCAGTTGCTCCAATGTAAAGACTAGAGAATAATAATCAGTAATAACAAGTTTATGAAATTAAAGTATGTAAATATAAAGATTTAAAATACAATAAAATAGAAATGAAAATGTGCATTATGCTACAGTGTTTGACACTAGTACTTAAAATATTAAAAATATCAGAAATAAAATATATTGTCACTGTGCTGAGGCTGTAAGTGTAAAAATTTAACTACAATATATACATCAATAAAATAAAACAAGAATAGAATAAGAGTAAACATACAGTTATGTGCATTGTTTGTTGAATAATATATACATTCAAGAGGTGTTGGTGAGAATAAGTTGTATACTGAAAAATATTGCACAGATAACTGTTAACGTTCATAGACAAAACAATAGTTTTTTGTTAGTGGCACATTATTAGTTTAAGCACTTTTACATTGCATAAATTAGCGTAGCAGCTAGTGTACTTTTCAGCTAACAGACTACATGTATTATGTATACTTTTTCCTATTCAATGTTGGTTAAGTCACTGCATCTCCCAAAAGAACAGCACAGTTGAACTTTGGCCCGCGTGCACGTATATTTCAGCCGAACATTGTTGAAACAGAGCAGCTGCTTTTGCTGACGGGAGAAGTTAGCTGAGTGAGATGCTCAGCGAGGCACATACATAGTGTTTCCTGAATATTTTATCTCATAATAGTTTTGTTTCCATTTGGCATGTGTTTTGTCTGATGATATGTATTTTCATCTACATCAAAAATATTTCCACATTGCTTATTTAATCCCAAGTAAATAACATTATTGTCATCATCTTTTTTATCTGCCTGGCGCTGTGTGACAGTGACTCAGACTTTCAAAACAAAGGCACATCCCAAAGACGACGATATGGATGGATGTTTTACTTTACGTCGATGATAGTGGATTGTTTATCAGTGAATCAATACATGAATCAAGATCGATGGATAGTTACACCGCTAGTGTTTGGTTCTTTGCACTAGATGTTTTTTTAATAGAATTCATATATGTTTTTTCTTCTTTGTAGAATGCTGCACAATATCTCTTTTCCCTTGTGATGTAAACACTTTACCCTATATACAGTATCTCGTTCATCCTTTGCATCATCCCAGAGAAAGTTGTCATAGATTCGCTTACATCTCATCCATACATCCATCCCTTCTTTTCTTCCCCCTCAAACACACACACACACACACACACACACATACACACACGCACACACACACGCACACAAAGCCGCACCAGCATGTAACAGTATCCCTCTTTTTCCTGCCTGTTCTCTTGCCTCCTGCTGTGCTCTCCATGTGAAACCCCTATTCTTTCTCAACACACACACTCTCCCTCTCTCTCTCTCATGAACACTTGACCATCCCTCCTCTTGCTTCAATGTCCTGTCCACACACACACACACACACACACACACACACACACTGGAACACCACAATCTCCACTTTATCCACACTTGTCCTCACAGTCCCACACTGGAACGCACGTACACACATAATCTGCAGCGCACACTCAAACCCATATACAGGCACATATATATGTACACGCATATATGTAATCTTCAGCAAATTATGGCCCATACATCCACACAATTCACTCATCACTCTATATGATGTCTTATCCATCCATCAATCTACTGTATATCTATCATCCATCCATCCCTCTCTCCTGGTCCTCTGTTCTGCCCTGTAACTATGTGATAACCACAGAGTGACACGAGGAGACAGCCAGTGGCTCTGTGAACGATGTTGCTGCAGATTATGTAAGAGCCATAGATTAAGGGAATATCCAGCAGATCACTGCAGGCTCACAAGAAGGAGGGCAGCCACCACAATGAAGCAGAGTGGGGGCTGAGAAAGCTGGCCCAGTCCATTTTTTTGTGGAGCAAGATGGAGAGATGCTTGTGAGGGGCCTGTGTGGTTTGTTTTTGTGTTGTGTGTGTGTCTGTGTGTGTGTGTGCATGTGTGAGAGAGAGTTACACTGAGCGAAAGAGAGAGTGGGAGGGATGCATCATGGAAAATGACTGCTTTCAACAAATATGTAGGAGGAAAGACTCTTCATTACA